AATATATTTTTAAACTATAAAAAATAAAACAACAACGTGAAAATATATTTTGCCAAATCAACTGTACACAAACAAAATGTTATCTGACATAACAAGATGATACCACCCAGTGTATTTATCCGATCTCCATTAATGGAAGGAAATAAAGGAGAGGGGGGCCGGGAAGATGGATTCCGGTCCGACAAAAACATGATTGTCCACGCTACCATTACATTATTAATATTTTTCTCTTTTTTTCTACTACTACTTTTGATAGTGCAGCATCCACTACGCCTTGTGCTTGAATTTTTATTTGTTTTCCTTACAACTTGTGGTAGTGCAGCATCCACTACGTTCGGTCCAATAATGTATTAATTGTCCTTTTTTGTGCATCTCAGCTTGTCTAACCAATGATGATGCTAATTAAGAAACAATTGATGATGAAGTGCGACAACCACAGATATTATAGAACTTAACTTCCACTATTTAATTTTGTCGCTTGAATGGAAAATGAGAGACTGAATTAAAGCATGAATTTTGCGTTTTGTGAGAAGCATGACATCCCACATCTGCCCTTGTTTAATTTGATCTGAATTTCTTAACACGTTTTGACTATATTATAGATGAAGCTAAGGCTTTTTTTACTAGATTACATCATAAATAATTTATTAAAAAAACACATCACAGACCAGCAGAGGTCCTCCACATACAAATAAGCTTCCCTCTGGCCCAATTATAAAGCCCAGGAAGAACACGAAACCAACAAACTCCAAATAAGAAAAACAATTGTTATGCGGCCAGTAGAAAATTCAGGGCCGAATAAGCAAGCCATTATTAGATTATAAACGAGTAAAAATCAAAGTTCGGTAACGTTAACCTGCAAATAAGATGGAAGCGTGGTTCAATCCGAAGGAGAGATTAATGAGTTATGGTATTTTATCATAGAACTAAAGTAGAAATGGTGGAGATTTATCACTTTGTTTTAGTTAAAAACTTGCACAAACCCTTTGGAATACCATGATCATGAAACTCTTGCTTTCTCTTGTCCTTCGCAGGAAGAAAAATTTATTACAACTTGGATAATTGATAAAAGGGTAAATTCTAGTTTATCCTCTAAGATTTATTGGGATTTCTCAATTTTATTTAAAAAAAATTAATGATTTTTTTATTTAAATTCATATTTTTTATTGGATGATATTTAGATAATTTTATTGAAATTTAAATATTTTTCTTTATGATCACATAAATTAATAAGAGAAAAATTAAAACTATAATAAAAAAATAGCTTTTAGATTGATATGATTATTTGATATAGTATTAAATTTTTTATTATCAAGCAGTTATAAGTTTGAATCTTATTATTTTTATTTATTTGATAAAAATTAAATATAAAATAATATAAACAAGTTTTAAACTTAAAAGGCTTTCACATGAATAAATATAATAAAGAATAATATAAATCTTGAAATTTTACATATTAATTTAAATTATCAGGTTGAAATAATTTTTTAATTAAGATAAAATTTTAAAAAATATCCCATAAACTTTTCAGCTTAAACTATTAGATTATTGTAAGGTAAAATTTTAAAAAATATCCCATAAACTTTAAAGGGTAAAGTTTAAATACTGATTAAATAATTCTTCCTGGGAGTATTAAAAGCTGATTCATTAACTTTATAGAAACTTAAGAGTAAATGCATAATGCAGCCACCCTATATTTCACGAGCACTAAAATATCTGAAGCCTATCAACCTCGGGCTTTTGGTTCGGTATTGAACAAGCTACAGTCCTCAGGTAATTAGCCCTTGTTTTTAGAAATTAGATTATTAATTACTATAAAGAAGCCATCATGATATTAATTATGAAACAAGCATGACATTAGAAAAGTACATTCAAATGGTGCCATGGGGAAATATTTAGTGGGACAGGGGACAAGGTTAATGCAAGGTTGGAAACTATAATATATGGCAGTGGGAGAACATGATTTGACTTGTGAGTACAGAAATTGAAGAGGAAGAACATCATGCTGTTGTACTGTTTGGAAATTCCCTCCTGTGTCGGATGGATCCAATACTTTAAGATGGATTCAAAACTAGGGCTAAATATTAACTTCTGTAGTTTACACGAGTTTACAAGCCTGGAATGTTGTAAGAAATTATTTAATATTATTTTTAAATTTGGTATAACAATTTAATTTTAAAATCTTATAATCTAACTTTTTGTCTCACTTGAATTTACAACTTTGAGACGATCTAATTAATTTGACTTGAAGAATTTAAAAATAATTTGAATGATTAATAAAAAAAATGTTTGGTTTTTAAAAAAATTAAAATATTTTTTTTCAATATTAATATATTAAATTAATTTGGACTCCCTGATTTAACCTATCAAGCTCAATACCGTGTGATGTAATCCGCCAGGTTTAAAAACTAGTAGACCACTTTTATAAATTAATTTAAGCAGGCAATTCATTGAATTTATGGCAACCCAGTGCTTGTTTCACCTACCATATACCCACAACATTAATTAAATTAAAATAAAAACGAACAAGCGGCGTACGTGGTTGCCAATACATGTTTCTTTACTAAACTAAAGAAACTGATCACATGAAAAATAATACTGTAACCTAAATAATTTCATTCATTAAATTAAAATAAAACCGAGCAAGATCAATATATATAGACTTTGAAGAAAATATCAGAAAATTACAGAATTATATATTGATTGTATAGCCATTAACTAACTCAAGGCTGATTTTGTTGCAAAAACGAAAGAAAATGAAAAAAGAGACGACGTTTTTCATTTTGATGTTGATGATCATGGCGAAGAAGAACCTGATTTCGACAGAGAGGACAAGTGGAATGAGACTGGAACCAGGCGTCTATGCACGCAACATGGAAGCAGTGCTTGCATTTCAGCAACTTCCTCAGCCTTTCACCATCCACAACTTCATGGAGGCAAACCACGCAATATGGGGTCTCGTAATCATCGTTCTTTTTGGGATAATGCTTTTGGCGAAAGGTGAAAGAAGGGATGTGGTTTTTTCTCCAGAGTACCTCTGTGCATAGTCGTATGGCAAGGATGATGACTATGATGACAATGGTGTTCTTGCAATTTGCTGTGGCTGCTATACAGCTAGCTACTTTTCTCATCACCAACTCCATCTCATCTTTCATCATCTTGTAAGAAAGATATCGAAGCTGTTTGCATATGTATTGTGAAGAGGAGAGGAGAGAAGAATATCGAAGCAGCCAGCAACCTTGTCGAAACAAACCATGCTACATCGATCAGGCGAATGTGTGTTGTTCCCTCGACAAAAGAAAAAAGGAAGGCAGAGAGAATTAGGTGATATACTCTCGCACCGAAGGCACCGTCAACAAGATGATGACTGGGCTGATCAACTACTCTTGATGATGAATTAAGATTATATTAATGGTCACTTTATATGGTGTCTTTCTTCTCTAATTTTGCGGTGCATTTATTAAGTATTTGATCATATTTTATTTTTATTTTTATTTTTATATAATGGATGTTTTAGAGCCGGCTTATTTCTTAACCAAAAATAAAAAAAAAATTGAATGATTTTTAAAGTGTATTTTTCACGTGGGTTTAATTATGTGTGCTTGGTATTATGGTAAATAATGTTTTTTGAAAGTTATTTTCTTTTAAAAATATATCATAATATTTTTTTTATATATTCTTTTTATTTTTGACACTAATAAATATTAAAAAATATTAATTTGATATTTTTTCAAGATAAACATAATTTTGAAAGGCATTCAAAAATAAAAGCTATCAAACTTCCAAACGAATTCTAACTTGGATGAATTTAATTATTATTATTATTTTTAATTCTAATCTCAAAATTCAAACATAAAAAATCAAAAGAATTGACAAACAATAGCCTTAACAACGACCTCTTAATATTTTAACCGTATTGTTTGGTCATCATGTATTTGAACATATTATAAGTATAGATAATCGTAGCTTCCAAAACAGTATTACATAAGCGTAGGGCATGCTAGAACTTACTATTACTTCTTGTGCAAAATACCATCTCCGACCATAAAAAGTTGTTTGCATTTCCAGAGAGATTATTAAAAAATAAAAATGATTTTATACACACACAAGCAACCATATACTTATGATGAAAATCAACAATAATATTGGGGTCGAACACTCCTATCAATATTTTTTTTATCAGTTCAGTTAACCCAAGTTTTGAATTTATATTCTTTATCACGTAACTAATAATTTTTATCAAATTAATTAATTACGTATGGAGGCAATAATTGGGCTATATAGATGGAGTATAATGCCTGAGGCCTTCGAGCAGGGTACGTGCTTAGTTGTTTGAAGTAGCAGGAAAGAACGGGTACACCAAACTTCAAGATTGTCTATGCTTGAATTTTCAGCCAGTGCTCTGCTGCCATGCGTAACATGATCGAAGGGGAACAAACGTAAATTAAAGTCGATGATTCTCCCATGATCTCTACTCTCTTTTTTCCCGACATATATATATATATATATATTGCAAGTTTTATAATTGAAGTCATTTTATCTAATCAAATATTGAGGTTGTTAATTAGTTTCTTGAAACCAAAAAAAATAACCACAAGCAAAAATTAAAAAAGTGTTTGGTTTAAAAAAAAGAACAAAGAGGAAAACATAAATTAAATGTTTTTTGGATAATTTTAATGAGAATTATTGTCTTTTTAAAACAAGAAAAAAATAGTAGGGTTTGGTTATTGTCTTGGAATAGAAGGTAGATAGATAAATGAGATATATTTTGGCTAAATTGGGAGTAAACAAAATCTAAGATGAAATTAAAAAAACAAAAAAAATTAAAATAAAAAAGGATGAAGTGGAAAAAAAAAAAGAAGCTAGCTTCTCTATTCCCAAAGTGATGTTATTGTGTTTTTTAATAAATCAATTTTTTAATATTTTTTATTGTTTTGATGTATTAATATTTAAAAATAATTTTTTAAAAATAATCACAACAATAATAATAAAACCCTCGCACAGACAGCGAAGCTACATATGTAATTTCAGTTCTTAAAGCATCGAAGGGTAAAGACCAGTCTTTGATCTCGTTATTCAATACTTAAGAAGTCAACTTAACCACTTCGTTTGAGTTTTGACTATCTTGAACTGTTACGTATGTGGATTGAAATTGGTGTCGATGATCTGACAAGTTAGGTTACCAAATGCAATGACTTACAGCGGCCCAGCACAGATTTCGTCAGACTTCTGGAGGCTCACAACTGTTCTGCATTGATCATCTTTTCAGCACTTCAAAGAAATTCTTATAATTAATTGTTCTTATTAAATGCAATCTCATGGGTGTTTGGGTTATGATGTAAAATGTTTTTTCAAATATTTTTTTATTAAAAATATATAAAATATTTTTTAAAATGTTAAAATCGTAAAATATATTTTAAAAAATATAAATTTAATATTTGTAAATAAAAAGAATCTTAAAAAAATTATAAATCAGAAACAAACACTGTAGCGCTAGCATGAAGCCATTTCAATTTTTTTATTTTATGAATCCATCTGGGATAATTCATAAAATCAGCTAGCAAGGAGGGAATACCCATGGTTGGGTTTTATATACTTGAATAAAAAATAACCACACGAACCCAAACAAGTATTGATTTTTAATGCATAAACCAAGCTAAAACCCAAAACTTGAACCTATTTATGTATATATATGTAATTGTTTTTCAAACATTAAAGTTATTTATCCATTTTAAGTCGTGTTTAGGGTAATATTATAGCAAAATATATTCATATCCATCCTTTTGCATTCAGCTTTTACCCAAACTCTATCCACTCGAGTCGGATTAGTCTCGATCGAGCTGGGGTGAGAGGGTGATGATTTTAGTGATTCTAGATCAGAACATCATCCTGTACACTGTATATTTGCAATTAGCCCTAACTCTTCAAGACCAGAAGAGATGCAAAAAAGTATTGTTTTTTTTTTTCCAAGGTCATCCAGACGTTTCAGTTAAAGTTTGCTTCAGAAAATTTGCTTTAGAAAATCAAGGTAACATTTAATTACTCTTAATGGGTAATTTTTCAAAGTATAAAAATTTAGTTTAAAACAATCCCAAGAATAAATTTATTTTTATCACCATCTTCACATCTGTAACCAATCTCCTCCATCTCTTCGGCTCCAAAACAATAAACAAAAGTTACTTCTCAACCAATTCCCCTCACTAGGCAAATTAAACATGACTAACAAAGAGTGAAGGGGATGGGAGAAAGGAGAGAATCGTAGGCTCAAAAGGAAGCATTATTGGTGCTTTATTACTATTTCATATTAGAAACTTGTCATAGGAACAAGAATATAGAGGTATATACCTCATCACATAACCTAAAATTACTATGATAAGAAGCATGATATCTGCTTAATGAATAAACTATGCCTTCCCAATAACGTATAATGCAACTGCACCATAAGTGAATATCACCTGAAAAGGAGAATAAATTCTGTTAGTTATATGTAACCTGGTACAGATGCTAGATGATGAAAGATGCAATGCATTATCTCCAAGCCTAGAAAGCTATGTTCCAAATGCAGACACGGACAACTTGAAGAACTGAATAATTGCATGTATTTTTTTGCAGCATCATTCACCACTCAATGGAATATCTTGAAGTATGCTTCTCATGCACTACTCTACAGAATATCTTCCGGTGTTCCTCCTGGAACTTGAGATAAAATTGATCCTCACGAGCTTCATTTTATGGAATTCACACACAACAATAACACCATAGGACTTGTTATTCATTGATGCAAAACTGAAGCTAGTTTGGGGATATCAAGAAAAAATGTTTCAAGGATCTCAATTCCCAACCAAAATCTCCAAATCTAGTAATGTTTCACCCAACACTGACCAACTTTAGATTTGCATGGTGATTTTCAAGCATTTTAGGAGCATACATGACATTAAAACATCAGCAGTTAAAGAGCATGTATAGGTCTAAACCAGAAAAGTTATTACCTTTATATTAGGTTTGATATATCTGGCACAATGGAAACACCTAAACAGCAACCTGCACAAGTATAATCAATAAGGGGGGGCCCTATTTCCAGATAAGATAATCCACAACATGATCATCAATTAATTCCTTTTTCATTTTAAACAAAAACTAAAGACTTGGAAAAGGTGCATCAAAAGTCTAATATTGCAGTCATGTCAATATGAATTTCCCTTTTGGAACCCTCATATCATGCAGCAATTACCTGTTAAGCACAAGCAATCTAGTTTATTGAGCAGAATTTTTAATTTCCGTATGATTCCTAAGCATTGTTTTTGTTTTCTCCATATTCCAATTGTCCTCAATTCTTGATACCTTCTCCATAAAACCGGAGTTGATAAACTTCTCCACTTACATTGAAATACCTTTTTGTTATGTTTAAGAGAAGTTGCTGTTATTGGTGGGCACCATGCATTCAGAAATGAAATGAAAGTTCTTCGCCATATCCTATGGCAAAGTAAAGGATCACACACAAGCACTTTCTTGTTTTATATACCGGGATATTAAATTGCATGCATCCACATCCTATCTGGTCTCATAAAGGCCATTACTCAGTATTAGTCTCACTTAAGCATGCCTGGAGGGTCCGAAAAGGTGCTAACAGTAAGCATTGTTGCATTACGATGGTCTTTCCAGTACTGAAACTTGCACAGAAAATGCTCCTTCTAAATTCTATGCATTGTACAAACCACACACTCACACATCTTTTGAAGAATAATCCTGACTGCATTCGGAACCCAGTAAATGCAGGTCATCAAATGGCAACCATAGATACAATTAATAAACTACTACTTTGCAAAAGCTTCTTGAAGGAAGCATTATAGGCTGAATTCTCATGTTATTTCCAAATGCTAGGTTTTTTACAAAATGTAGGCTTCACAAAATGCATGGCATTTGTCAAGCAATACAATAACATGCATCTCATTCTGCATCAAAAGAAGACAAAGCTTGATTCTACACACATTTCTGATGATATTATTCATAGCATAACGATTAATTTTCTCAAGATTACACATTTCTGTATACAATGGAATTCCTACAAGATAGCACAGCGATGCTGCTTTACCTTCTCGTCTTTTGGGGTAAAGATGGCTTTAACTACCTCAAAAACCTCATCAATAGGCTTCGCAGCATCAACCTAGAGGTCAAGGGAAATAAATCTGATGGTTATAGTAATCAAGCAATATTTATTTCAATATAGAAACAATTGCATGAACATGTTACCTTTCGAACTTTCCCCTTGGATTCATAATACTCAACCACGGGAAGGCTAGATTCTAGAAAAACTTTAAACCGCTTCCTTATTGTCTCAATGTTGTCATCTTCTCTTCCCTTAATTACCAAGAAAAAGAGAAGAAATAACGAATAAAGAAACATTAGGACATGAGATGAAAAAAATGTAACAAGAAAAACTAGGAATATGACCTCCTTGAGAAAAATGTTATGTCCATGAATATTTATATTACATAGAGAGAGTTGTCACATTATTCCAACCTGGTTCCTGCTCAAAATACGCCTCTCCATCTCCTCTTCAGGACAATCAAAGAAAAGGACAAATGCCGGCTCAATTTTGGTCTGGATAATAATATATTATGGTAAGAATGCTATTCAAACCAAGCAGAAAGCAATCCCTCCCTCTACCACTTTAGCTACAGTCTATGGGGAAAATATTGGTACAGAAAATTGTGTAAAAAACTTACAACAGCTTCAAAAGCAGCTCGGTTTTCCTCATTGCGGGGAAAGCCATCTATCAGAAATTTGTCGTTTCCACTATCCTGCATTGCTTTTTGGAGGAGCTTTATTGTTACCTCTGAAGGCACTATCTTTCCCTCCTTAATCATGTTCTGAATCATGGTTCTGTAGATGACATGGAACAAGATTACCAAGTGTTCACTGATAAGGGCAGGGCAGAAATTATAGAAGTTCCAAAATCTAACACCACACCACATGACCAAAAAGAACAATATATGAAGGGACATATAAGCCAACCCTGACTCAACAACATATTTAACATCTGACTAGAGGAGCAGGTAGGACAGGCAGAAAAATTTCCAATCATTCGATACATTAGATGCAAAATGCACCCTATTCCAATAAAGAAGGGCGGGCTTGGTAGGAATGAATACCCACACCACCAGCTTTAAGAAGGGGTAAACCTAAACACTCCCATTCGGTATTATTATACAGATATTCATCATTGACATAACGTGGGGAGTGATGAAATTACTGAGAGCAAACCGAGAATGAGAGGAGGAAAACTAGCAAGAACCTTGTTATGCAACAAGTAAAGAGAGGTTCCATGAATCATTCTATTTTCTTCTTCTTCTTCTTTTCTTATAAATCTAATCTATTTAGGAAGTCAACGTGCTTGGCAACCTTAGAACTATTTAGGAATCTTACTTTATTCAGGAAATTAGAGCATTAGTTAGATAGTTCTCTATTATCTACGGTTTTTTTCATATGATTAAAAATCCCTAATTAGTTTAGTACTGTTAGGGCTATTTGGTGTCTATAAAAGGAGCACCAAACCAATTCTGCAAAATCATAAAGACTTCAATAATGAATTATGAGCATTCAATTTAGTTTAAGGACTGTGGCCTGATAGGGCATCCTATTTACTTTAATGACATTTTATTCTTCTTCTAAACTCCTCTTGCCACACTGTCCATATCCTATTCATAGCTGAAACCCATAACTTCTAGACAAGTTTTCTGATCTACATACCCTAACTCAACATGAAACCTTTTTGGGACCCAGATTCACAGTCATCCTAGATCACCATGTCACTAATAGAAGATTGAACAGGAGGGATGAAATGATCAAAAGCTTGAGAATTTACTCCCGAGCATCATTATAATAAACTGAATAAAGAATCAAATAAAAAACAAACATTGTTTGTCAAGATATGCCATTTGAAGACTTGTTACAAAGGTCCCAAATTATTTCTAGTAATATTTTTTAAGGGAATCATGGAAAAATAGTGACATTTTAAAATTGATAGAGACAACAAATGTAAGGGTAGCTAAACAAAAAATAAGTGCAAGCCATACCCATTTTCAGAACCAGATCTAATTTCTGCTCGAAGAAGATCTCCAGCACTAAGATGAGTGTAACCAAAGTGTTCGACAATTTTGGCACACTGGGTACCCTTTCCACTTCCAGGGCCACCTGATCACTCAAGAGAAACAATCAACCAGGTGTCGGAAAAAAACACTTTCAAGCACGCAGAAGAGGAAACGAAGGCAACTACAAATAGCCCAGATACGGATACAGTCCAACTACCAATAATATGACATTTTATGCTCTTCTATCAACAATATTGTCAAGACATGACAACGTTATTTAATTAAGGTTTACAAAACAGGTGATGTCAGTAAGAACTGACAAACAATGAGTTATAACTAACAACTGAAATGAGAGAAAAGAAAATGGTCTGACCCAAAACAAAAACAACAGTAGGCTTCTTCTCAGAATCACCGGCAGTCCCCATGATCGTTTTTCAAATGCAGAATCTGCAGAGACAACACCACACCATAAAATGTGAGAAATAATATAGCATAGGATGATTCAGCGGATGCAGTTCAATTCTTAATAGATCTGATCCTGAGACACCGCACCGACAGGTAGATCTACTTTACTATCCTCTGTTTATCAAATTTTACGTGATAGATCGGAAGAAACTGCAGGGTGAATTAGCACTAAGTGTGAAATGCAGGTGCTAAAATAAAGAGAAAGGGATCATTTATCATATATAACCAAATCTATCTGAGAAAGGAAAATAGAGGCTAGATCTAATGCGGAGGCATAGCTTACCTTTTTTGAGGGAGGGAGAGAGAGAATGGAAGGAAAAGTTGACAGCTTCGTAATGCAGAGGGAGGAACCAGTTGAAGCAGAACAGGGTGCTCTCTCTTTATATTTATACAGGAGGGGAGAGAGGGGTGTGATGGTATAACAATAACCCTCGACATTTGTGAAATTACATAGAAATTTGAAGATTGATAAAAATTTAAATATTTATTTAATAATATATTGCATAGAAAGTTCTTTTTTGTCCCAAATATCTAAAATATTAAGAACAGTTTTGACCTTTGATTATTGATACAAGACTCGATAGTGTCGGTGTTTATCTGGTCATGACCTAAACAGTTTTCTGTGTTTCGTTTGTTTACTTGTATTAGGTCACAAAGTATTTTTTAAGAGTATTTTTTTTAGGTATAAATATATTAAAATATTGTTTAAAGGTTTTTTTATTGTTAATGTTAATATTAATATATCAAAATTACTAAAAAAAACTAAAAATATAAATTTAATATTTTTTAAAAAATAAACATAGTTTTATAAGACACTTAAATACAATTAAAAACATAATATCAAACAAGTATTTCTCATATTAGGTTATAAGTTAATCTAGTAAGACTAAATTCATATTAGTTTGGGTTATAAGTTAATTTAGTAAGACTAAATTGACCAGACAAGGTAATTTATGATCCATTTATAATCTAAATAAGATATAATTAAAAAAATCAAAATAATATTATTTTATATTTTATTTAAAAATATTAAAATAACATTATTTTTTTAATTATGAAATTAAACTGAATTAACTACTAACTCACAACTCATGACTTTTATATATAGTCAAGTCATGGACCAAGCTGAGTTTTATAGCTATAATTATGGTATAAAAAAGAATTTATGTTAATATTTAATATTTTGATGTATATTATTTTTTTAAAGTGATTTTTATTTTAAAAGATTTAAAAAAAATAGATTTTTTATCTATAATATCAATACATTAGATTCATAAATAAACTAAAAAACCAATAATTTAATAATTTTTCAAATGAAAAATATTTTTAAAACTTACACAAATACAGTTACAAACATGAAAATAAATGTTATATTTTTAATTTCTAAATAATGGTAATGATTATGATAGCACGTTTTTTGGAATGGAAATGAAGGAGAGTAACGAGCGGTGTTTGCTCTTTCTGGGGCGTTTGGTAAGGTTGGTGATTTCACTTTGCGTAGCTCGAACGACCAAACGTCCATTCCTATTCCCCAGATCCCTCATCTTCTTTCTATCTGTAAAGTTTTCTTTTTGTTTAGAGTGAATCTCAAGCTTTAATGGCCTCCCTCATTCCTCCACCTCACCGTCACAAACCATTTTTGATTTTTTATTTTACAGCTAAATCGGTAGTTAATTCAATTTTCAATGCTTTATTTATTAATTAATTATTAAAAATCAAGCTAGTTTTCAAGGATTTTATGCAAATTATTCACACTTAAACTGGCCATCCAGAATTAACAACGCACCCAGTAGAATTAATTCATCACTTAATCTAATATTTTAAAAAAAAATCCGAACCCTTTTGGAAAAAAAGAAGAAAAGAACAAACACTAATACCAATCGAGCTACAAGTATCTGGCAGTAGTTTAATCGTGCAAAACAAGGGAGGCTTGAGCCAATAACATGGATTCACCTGCGATAGCGAAGAATACAAATCTTGATGGAATATGTGCAGATTTCACATCAAGTGGGAGGACAGGACCCCCTAGGCCAAATCAACACTGCTCTTATATATTCTCCATCCCAATCTGATGTGCTGGAAACAGACCAAACATGCATACATACATACATGCATCTTGGATTCCAATCAGATCACATCCAACAAGATCTCCACCATCTGTTAAGAGGCAAGGCACAGAAGATCTGCATTCTGTGAGAGTCCAAGGAGAGTGCTTAGCTTTTCAAAGAGGAGGAAAGCAACTGTATCCTTTCCTGATCCTGATGACAAAGCTGCTTCTGGATTTGGTGTGTCTGGAGATCATGGCACCAAATCCTCTGAAGTTTATGGTTTTGTTGGCTCCATTACAACCGTTGTTGCTACAGGTGTCTTTAACTTTCATCTTCTTGAATTTAGCATTCATGTGGAAATTATCTTCATTCTGTGCTTGCCTTGATATTCTGAATTCACCATTTTAATTGCCACGAAACATTTTACTTGCTGGATGAAGGAAGTTTGGCACCTTAACATGGAATCATTTTCTTGTTTGCCCTTTTTTTCTCGGGGACATAACTGCTCCACCTTATCAGAAACAGCAATATCTAAGTTCGATGCTGAATTCCGTTGTTTTTGTCCGAGCAGTCATTTTCTTGGTATGGGCATATGTTCCTGAAAATTGGTTGTACACAATTGGAATCTTCTACTATCCCAACAAGTCAGTGGCCATGTTACTTTGCTTCGACTAGTCTTTTCTTCTAGATTGAGGAAAGTACATGATGAGTAGGCCTTGTTGTAACTTGGATTCTGCTCTTCAGGTACTGGGCGTTGGCTGGGCCAATTTATGCCATGTTGACAATCTTACTAGCTCTGTTATTTTACGTAGGACTCAACTCCATGTCAACCCCGCTCCCAAGCTCCTTGAATACAATTTTTGGTATTTTGCTCCTGCAAATGTGAGAAATCACGTTTTAGCTCCCGACGAGCTATATGATGTTGTGCTCTGTGTTGTACAGATGAATTCAGTAAGGAACCTTCAACCTTCATTCCATCGAGGGAGGGAGATGAGCAGCCCATCGAACCCATATCTGACAATGGCATCAACAAAATCAAAAAATCTCATGTTTACTGATGTAAAATAAATTAATGACCTCATTTTTGTTGATGTTTGGTGAGAAATGAAAGATGCACCTTCGAAAGCTGCTGTTGTGCCAAATTTACAGTTTAGTCATGAAAATTTACTTCAAGCTTGGAACTTTCTTGAAACATGTGTTACATCTTTCTTGAAAATTTAGCTCAACTCCATCTTTCTTTCTTGTTGTAACTTGGATTCTGCTCTTCAGGTACTGGGCGTTGGCTGGGCCAATTTATGCCATGTTGACAATATTACTAGCTCTGCTATATTACGTAGGACTCAACTCCATGTCAACCCCGCCCCCAAGCTCCTTGAATACAATTTTTGGTATTTTGCTCCTGCAAATGTGAGAAATCACGTTTTAGCTCCCGACGAGCTATATGATGCTTTGAAAAGAGAGAGAGGGTTTCATTTGAAAAGATTAGAGGTTTTTAGAAGAATGTTGGTTGGGGCGGGGGGTGTGGGTTATGTTCTTCGTCCCTTCTCTTCAGGATTTATGAACACTATTTTTCTTCCAATCCTGATGGCAATCATACTCTAGGTCCAACCTTTCGATGCTAGTGGCCCAGCATCTTCTCTTATTTTGGGCTGAGTTTGCTGGAAGTGGGCTCTATAGTCTGTTCCAGACCCAATGAATGAGTCCAGACTTTTTTCTTTTCTTCTTCTCTTTTTTTATATCGAATATATGGATTAACCTAATTAATTAATTAATTAAAAATAATATGTAATAATAAATTTATATAATAAAAATAAATCATATTTCATGTGTAGGTTGTAAAAACTTTTCAAATTTATAAAGGAGGATGAAGGTTTAATTATTAATAAAAATAGTTTATTTTTATTTTTTATTCTAAAATCAACCTTTTGACCAATCAGTTCTTAATCAGAATGAACTAAATTAGGTTTTTGAACGAAATTAATATCCTAATTAATTTAATTAAAAACTTAACCATAGTCAACATGACAAGCCGAACTGATATTGACAACTGTAAAATGGACATGTACGGACATTACAACCAACCAAAGCATTTAAAGAATCAGACCAAACCATTCAATGATTCGCATATCTCACTCTCTCTGAAACTTCCTCTCTGATTTTGTTTCCTATCTCTCATTCCTAGCAAAACCAGACATACTACTGCTCAAGCATGATATCCTTTGCTTCGATTCAGCTTCCTCCTCCTCCTCCTCCCCCCCATCCCCCCCCCCCCCCACCACACCCTTGTTTCTGCCCATCTCCACAAAACTAGTACAATGCACCAACCAAACCGCTTCAAAGATTTTCCCCGCATGTCATCCATTTCATCGAATGCTCGACCAATCCACAGGTTTTTTCCTGTCTTTCTCTTACTTCACTGTCTCCCGCATATTTCTGGCTAATGTTTTTCATTGCCTCGTATTATGATAGCGGTGGAAGTTCCCTGGCCTCTGTTGCTCCTTTGGAAGCAATACTTTTCGACATTGATGGAACATTGTGTGATTCAGATCCTCTCCATTTTTATGCTTTTCGCGACATGCTTCAAGAAGTTAGTCATTTTCCTTCTTTTGATTTATAATATTCTCATTTATGTGTTCTGCAAAAGAAAATTTAGCAGGATGACTTAAAACGGGGTCAATGGTGTTCCATTCCCTCACCATACAGATAGGTTTCAATGGAGGAACTCCTATCACCGAGGAATTCTTCATCAAAAATATTAGTGGTAAGCATAATGAAGAACTACGCGAAATTCTCCTTCCTGATTGGGAAATCCAAAGATCCCGCAAGTTCTTGGAAGATAAAGAAGCGTTGTTTCGGAGGTAACTTTATAGTATAGTCTACTTTTCTATTATAACAAGTTCAAAAGTTCTCTTTCCTTGCCTCAAGTGGGACTTTAATTGATTGAAATTAATGTACAGATTGGCATCGGAACAATTACAGCCTATGAAGGGCTTGCAAAAGTTGTGCAAATGGATTGAGGATCGCGGTTTGAGAAGAGCTGCTGTTACTAATGCTCCAAGATCAAATGCTGAGCTTTTAATATCCATGTTAGGCCTGTCAGATTTCTTCGAAATTCTTGTTCTTGCGAGTGAATGTGACCGCGTAAAACCATTTCCTGATCCCTATCTGAAAGCCCTCCAGGAACTTGACATTTCTCATAAGCATGCCTTTGTGTTCGAGGTTTGTCTCTTCACCTATAACTGCGGGCTTGCTACGTGCTGTCCTTGAGCTCTATTTATTTTAACTTCTACTTTTAAAAGAAATTAATTTTTTTTATTTTTTTCTTTGCTTTAAATTAAAT